TGTGTGTAGAGAGATAATGATTATCTACACACACACACACACACACACACACACACACACACACACACACACACACAGTTTAGACCCCCCATTAGTTTGGCAGCCTTCATCAAGGCCCACGACACTTGGGTAATTTTTAGTGCCGCCCTACCGAACCACGAAACAGAGATAGACCTCCATTGCTGGATCACTCTTAATTGTGTCCAAAAGTGGTTGGAAATTCAGTCTAAAAAGGTCTGCCATGGAGTGGGAAAGGTGAATCCCCAGATATTTTATGGCCGGACGATCCCAGCGCACTAGATACTCCCCAGTTGGAGGTCAGCAATCAACTTACTTTGGGTATTCAGGGCAAGAACTTCTAACTTCGAGTAATTAATAGAGATTAGACAGGTCCCCGTATTCTTTAAGACAAGTCAAAAAGCGATTGTAGCGACGATCGAGGGCTAGTCAAAAAACAACAACATATAGTCAGCATAAGTTGCCACCTTATGCTCAACTCCATGATGCAGGACCCAACAGACAGAGGGTTGGAATTGCACCATTGGAAGAAATGGTTCTAGCGTCAATTTGAAGATGATGGGAGATGGGGGGCAACCCTGTCTCATACCAATCGTAAACCCGAGCGGCATGGACAAGGAGCCTGTGGAACGCACCCTCGCCCAGCGACTGGAGTATATCGCTCCGATCCATCCCAGAAGCTTCCGCCCCAGGCCTATGTGACTGAGGACTTCCAGCATAAAATCGCATGCTACCCTATTAAACGCCTTCTCCACATCCGTCGAAAGAAAAATCTCCCCCGCCGAATTCTCCCCCATCAAGTGGATCAGATTGATTGCCCGCATCGTATTGTCCCTAGCCTCCTGGCCCGGAACTAAGCCCACCTTCTGGTGTCAGCGTGGGTAGATGCGAGAGTAGACTGTTCGACAGGATCTTAGTGAACAGCTTGAGGTCCACATTCAACAAGGATATTGTCTGTAGTTCGAGCATAACTGAGGGTCCTTCCTTTCCTTGGGGGTAACTGTAATTACCCCCTAGGCTCCCCTAGGAGCTGGCATGGAAGTACAGAGCCTCCGTTTATTCTATTGTATGCCGCCAGGAAGTGAGGCAGTAAAAGGTCCTTAAAAGTCTTATTGTATTGGGAGGGTATTCCGTCTGGGCCTGAGCTTTTCCATGGCTTCGTCCGGGTTAGTGCTAGAATCAACTCCTCTTCCGAGATAGTCAGGGGCGGTAGAAAGCAGGGGTTCCAGCTTGGGCATCTGTGATATTTGTATATAGGTGCGTATCTTCCCTAATCTAGGGTTTTCTTGGTAGGCGTCACGTGTTGTATGGGGATGCTAGTATTCCCTAAAGCATTCCACAATCTCTGGAGGTGAAGAAGTCGGGGAGGTTGGTGATTTGTGTATTGATCGTACATGGGAGCGGTATAGCCGCGACTTCACCTCTCTCGCGAGAAGCTTGCCACATTTGTTACCGCCCTCATAGTATATACTATTGTGGAGAGTAAATGCCCTCCGGATTCCGCTATCCAACAACACTTTCAGTCCTAACTTGTAACAGGTCTTGAAGGGTCGCGGCTGCCAGGGATTCCTTATGGAGGGACTCCAATCTCGCAATGCGATTTTTGAAGACAGCGTATCCGAGCTAACCGCTCATTTTTCTTTTGGCCTGCTAACTCATTGAAGTGCCCTCTAATAAAGCACTTATGTGCTTCCCACACCATCATCTGTGGAGTCACACTACTGACCTTGTTATTGAAGAACACTAGAAACCGAGTCTACCACCCCCAAATCAGCCAGGAGCGAAGTATGTAGTCTCCACAACGTTGTTCTGGGTAAGGGGATTGCAGTGTGAGGGATGTCACCGTCTGAGCATGGTCGGAGGTAGTGATATTGCCAATAGATGCTGAGGAAAGTTTTGGGAGATCCCATTGGGTGACAAAAATAGTCGATTCGGGAATATTTATTGTGCAGGTTGGAGTAGAACGTGTAATCCCTTCCGTCTGGCTGTAAAGTGTGCCAAGTGTCGCATAAGCTCAAGTCGTTGAGTTTCGACTTCAGAAATTTAAGGGTTCTATATGGTAATGAGTATTTTCTGTCTGATGTTTC